ACATTGTTTATGTTTGTAGATTTCAGTGTTTTTTCTTTCTTTCTTTTTTTTTTTTACAACGACTCTCATATTAAGAGGCTAACATTCTATTGTACACCCTTGAAGTGCTTTTTTTCACATATCACATATTTACTATTAGGACTTAGGACTCTGAAGGGCAAAAAGCACATTTGCTTTTGTTCTTCCTCATTGTTCAGCTTCATTCCGTGTTTGCATGCTAGGGTGCCTCTCTTTGATAGGCACCTCTGTGGGAGAGGCATGCAAGATGGAGAGCACTGGGGTCAGGAAACCTGGGCCCTTGTCCTGTCCACAGGCTCAGGAACTTTGGGCTAATTCTGCAGTCAAGGCCTCCAATACCCCGTCTACAAAGTGACTCATAGATCACGACGTTTCCTCTGCCTCTAACATTTCACAGGTTCTCTCCCCATGTTTGTAAATTACAGCGCTCATTATAGCCTAGTGAGGGCATATGTGTGGAAGAACTCAGGTTTTCTGAAGCTAGATACATGATTAAATGAAGATATTGATACTTGAGGCTTAATTACAGTCAGTTAAAGCAAGGCTTACGGTGTAGTTCTGAGAGTGTCTTTCTGGTGGTTACAGACGCGCTTCTGTGTGTGCCCAGATGCTCAGTCACGTCCGGCTCTTTGTGACCCACGGACTGTCCCTCACTAGGCTCCTCTGTGTGTTTGAATTAAGGTAATTCAGACTTCTTCCTATTTTTCTCCTTCCATGATTTGTTTTCTTTTTTCTTCTCTTAGACAACCCAGTAAAGCTTTTCTTCCCCTGACCACATCTTGACAAAAAAGTGTACTACATGGGAGTGTAAAAGGAGCTGGCACATTTTAGACTTTTAAATATATATATATAGTTACATTTATTTGGCTGCATCGGTCTTAGTTGCGGCATGGGGGATCTTTGTTGTGGACTCTCGAGTTGTGGTGCTTGGGCTCTGGAGCACAGAGGTTCAGTAGTTGCAGCTCACAGGCTTAGTTGTCCTGTGGCATGTGAGACTTTATTTCCCCAACCAGGAATTGAACCCACATTCTCTGCACTGCAAGTCAGATTCTTAACCACTGGACCATCAGGGAAGTCCCATAAACAGTTTCAAAGGCTAGTGTGTTGGCCACAACTGCACGCATTGGCGTTGTCCTGAAGACTGCTTGCATGAAGCAGCATCATACATTAATCTGGGCTGTGTGGCTGGTTACCCTTTCTGCAAATTCTAGTTCAAGTCAGACTCATGCTGATTTGGTTGGTTCTTGTCTTTAGAAACCTCACACTGAATCAGCCTTTGAAGAATTTGAGAATGATTCAATGGCCAGAACCGTGTTCTCTGCCGCGTCCCAGGTCACCTGCCTGGTTGAGTTTGTATGGAGCAAACTGTAAACTGTAGTGTCTTCTGCGGGGAAAAAAGATCAGCTAGGACAGTGCTGAGGCTGCAGGCCAGGGAAGGCGTTGATTGTAGAGAGAGAGCACGTTGGTTTATTCTCCACCCTGTTCTGATGATGAGTTCCTGTCCTGTTTGGGCCTGGGGTTGATCAGTCAGGGTGAGGAAGGATGCAGAACTTGATGTAACTGAGAGACCTGGGAGGGGATTTTGAATTATTTACTAACCTTTCTTCTTTATGCCATCTAGTACTTTGTCCAGTTTTGAAATGATCTTGCATTCGGCTTCAGGAGAGCTGGGGGTGATAGGTATTCTTTAGGGAAGGATAATTTGTTAGTTACAAGAGATATGCTAGGAAGCTGTGTTCTAGAAATGGGTCTTGATTTATAAGAGGGAGCGTTCCTTAACTAGATGTAAGATTATACATTATAAAATCAGCCAGTGAAAAGAAGAGACTGGGTAATGACAGAAAATTATTGTTTAAATGTGCTTTGTGAACCTAAATTACTGAAATTTTCCATGACTTCTGGAGGGAAGGGTTGTACTCTATTTGGAAGATGAGAGAGCAAAATGTGTTGGTATAGGGTTCGGTAATGACGATAGGCTTGTAACTCTTCATGTTGGGTTTTTCATTTCTCAGCCTTAGTTTTTTCATTCTGTGGCACTCAAGGAGAATAATGGGATGAGCTCCAGACGTGTGATGGTTTATTTTAGAACGTTCTGTGTTAGAAGCAGTGGGCACTGAGCGGTTTTGCCAGTAACCTTGTGAGTTACTGTTACAGCTGGAGGCAGTTACAAGCAGCAGATTATCTGTTGAAGAAGTGATAGGAAACAGCTGAAGACCTGCTTGGTCTTAGTGGTTATTGGTTGGTAGGAGGTGCCTGGAGGGCAGAACTGAAACCTGTAGGTGTTAATTTCATGGCTGCAGTCACCATCTACAGTGATTTTGGAGCCCAAAAAAGTAAAGTCTCTCACTGTTTCCATTGTTTTCCCATCTATTTGCCATGAAGTGATGGGACTGGATGCCATGATCTTAGTTTTTTGAATGCTGAGTTTTAAGCCAGCTTTTTCACTCTCCTCTTTCACTTTCATCAAGAGACCCTTTAGTTCCTCTTCACTTTCTGCCATAAGGGTGGTGTCATCTGCGTATCTGAGGTCATTGATATTTCTCCTGGCAATCTTGATTCCAGCTTGTGCCTCACTACTAGTCAAGGCCTGAAAAAAGGGAGGTGGGCATTTAGAATAGCATTTTGGGGAGATATATTTTAGGATAGAGAGCAGCATGGTTTTCTGTAAAGGGTCAGGTAGTGAATATTTTAGCGTTTGGGTTCGTATGGCCTTTGTTGCAGTTACTGAACTTGGCCTTTGTGGCGTGAAGGCAACTGAGAGCAGTGTGTGAGCAGTCGGCATGGGTGCTGTGTGGGCTGCTGGAACAAGGTTCTGAAGGCTGGGCAGCTTCGGCCACAGGAATTGATTTCTCACAGTTCTGGAAGCTGGAAAGTGGAAGATGAAGGTACTGGCCAGTTTGGTTTGTGGTGAGAGACTGCTCCCTGGCTTGTAGATGGTACACTTCCTAGTTATGTCCTCATGTGGTGGTCAGGGTCGGGGGGAGATGGAGGGAGAGACAGGGGCTGAGAGGGAGATGGAGAGAGTGGGAGACAGGCATGGAGGGAGAGACTCACGGAGGGAAGGACATGGGGGAGAGAGGGAGACATGGAGAGAGAGAGAGACGTGGGGGTGGAGAGGAGGTGGCGGGAGAGAGACAGAAAAGGGAAGGGGGTGGGCGACATGAAGCGGGGGAGGCGGGGAAGGAGGAAGGGGGAGAGGGAGAGGGAGAGACTGCTCTCCTTCTCTTGGAAGGCTGCTTTCCTGTCAGAATAGGACACCCTGCCCTCATGAACTCGGTTAACGTAGTTACCGCCTGAAAGACCCTGTCTCTGGAGAGAATCACATTAGGGGCCAGAGCTTCAGCACATGGAGTTTGGGTGGGAGAAATGATACGATTCAACCCATAGCAGCTGTGTTCCAATGAAATTTTATCTGTAGAAACAGGAGGTAGGCCAGGTTTGGCCCACAGACCGTAGTTTGGCAGCCAGTGGTCTAGAAAAATCGAACACATCAGAAAGTAGGCTAGGTGATCTGTCAGCGTACTTCAACAGTTTTGCAAATCTGTGCTGTTTTGGTCAAAGACTCAGCCAGAGGACATGTTTGATGTCTGGCATAGCTTGCCATCATGTTCTCCTATATAATAAAACCCTCTCCCCACTGTAAAAATCCTGAACACCACTAAGATACAGTTTGGGTGAAATTATTTGGGTGAGAGTGGCTGCATTTAAAGGTTAAGTGTACAGTCTCTAGTTTTAGACTGTCTTGGTTCACATCCAAGTTATGCTACTTACTAGCTGTGTGACCTTGGGCAAGTTACTTAACTTCTCTGAATCAGGTTTCTCATTTATAACATGATAATAGTGGAATTTACCTTATAGCAGTGGTGCGATGCTTAAATAAGTTAATACATGTTGGGGGCATAACGCAATGCCTAGGTCATAATATGTTCTTGGTAAATATTGTTATTTCTTGAAATAAGAGATAGCAAGGGCTTCCCAGGTGGCACTAGTGGTAAAGAACCTGCCTGCCATTGCAGGAGGTGTAAGAGATGTGGATTCAATCCCTGGGTTGGGAAGATCCCCTGGAGAAGGGCATGACAACCCACTCTAGTATTCTTGTCTGGAGAATCCCATGGACAGAGGAGGCTGGTGGGCTACAGTCCATAGGGCTGCACAGAGTCAGACATGACTGATGTGACTTAGTACGCACACAGGGAAGCCAGAGGCAATATGATTAGGAGCTAAAGGTGAGGCAGGTGTCAAAGACTTAGGGATATCTTAGAAAATAAATAGCTTTGGATCAGATTGGAGTATGTGCTTCCATTTAAAAATGATTAAAATGTGGTAAAGGGAATATGAATACTTTTCTGAATAACCTTTTAGTTCTCCTGTTCTTGTACCATCACACTTTTGCACTTATCCATATCCCATTATTCTCTTAGCTCATAGGTGCAGGGGCCATGTTTGTTTACCCTGGTCACTATTTAAGTCCTATCACTTAGCAAAATACATGGCAAAGTCCTATCACTTAGCAAAATACATGGTTCTATTTCTTGGATTAATAATCTACATTTAGAATACATCTTTATTTTTTGCACATCTGATTAATTCTAATACAACTACGTTTATAACTTATTATATGGCTTAAAAACCCTTAGTATTTTTTACTTTATAAAAAGGAACAACGAAGAGTTTATCAATCTTGAAAGATTTATACTATCTTTTCACTTGTAATTTTATATTTATGCCCTGTTTATAAAGTTTTTGTGACTTACGATTATAACAGTTTTGAGTAGAAGTATATACAAAAATATAACTTTGGTTATTCTTCTTTAGAATGAAGGTTATTCTTCTTTAGAATGAAGGATTAAACATTAAAACAGTTTTCACTGAACTCTTGATCATGATTGCATTTGTGGAGCACTTACAGTTTAGGAGCTTTGGTCTTTTTTCAATGAATTCTACATAATTATATATTTTTTCTTTTTCTCTTTACACCTTAGATAACTATATGAAGACATGGAATCTTAAAATAGAGTCTTCTTTTGATGTTGTCAGTTCAAAGCTGGTTTCTGGTGAAGCGATTGTAGCCATCCCTGAATTAAACATACAGCAGACAAACAACATTGAACTTCAGCATGGGGAAAGGACTGTTAAGCTCTTTGTGAAAATCGACAAGGTGAATGTCGGCACTTTCTGAGAGGCTACAAGATAGAAAGCAGTATTGTTCAAAAGAAATGCTTAGAAGAAAGGAACTGAATATTAAGGAAAATTGTACCTTTTCCATTTTCTCCTTTACTTTTAACCTGTTATATATTTTTTGTGTGTGCTAGCTAAGGAGTAATTTCTTCCAATTTTAAGGTTAAGAAAATGGAGGTTATGTGATTAATTTGGAATCCTCTCAAGAAGTCAGGTGTGTTATAGTTTAATTTTTCTTCAGTATTTGCAGTGTCCTAAATCCAAAATGCATCCTAAGCATCATATTTGAATGCTGTGATTGTTTTTGATACTGGTAAACTATTTTGAATATTGGTGCTTATTCTGAATACAGAATTCTAAATCTCAACTTATAATCTTTCATGAGTAGAAGTGGACTGGATTTTACTTTCTCTTTTTCCTTTCCTTTTTCTTCCAATTGACAATTGTGAGCTGAAAAGGATGGAACAAATCAGCATTCAGTAACTGTTCAGATAAAGTAAGAACTCAAAACACTTTTCTAGTTCTGGGCTTGAAAGAAGAGTTCACCTCAAAGTCCAATTCTAAATGTTAAGAATATAGAATAAATGTCAACTGAGTGTTGGAATGAGGATGAGATGGTTGGATGGCATCACCGACTCAATGGATGTGGGTTTGGGTGGACTCCAGGAGTTGGTGATGGACAGGGAGGCCTGGTGTGCTGTGGTTCATGGGGTCACAAAGAGTCGGACATGAGTGAGCGACTGAACTGAACTGAGTGTGGGAATGGGAAGAGTTGTTTTTCTGAATGCCCATGTTATTTTGTTCTTTTTGTTCCTTCTCTTCCCTTTTGGTCTATATTAATCTATCCTTAACTCCCAGCATGTCGAGTTTTTTAAATGTTATCTATGGACTGGTATAATTTGACATGAAACAGGGAGGGAGAGTGATATAGCTCTATGCTTGACTGAGAAGTTGCTATGATGCCTTGAATTACTGTATTATTTTGCTGAAAATATGCCACAGATTACTTAGACGAACTTAATATTATTTTTTAAAAGGCTGTTATTGTAGAAACTTGGTGGCCTCACGGACATGGAAACCAGACTGGCTACAACATGACAGTTCTTTTTGAGCTGGATGGAGGCTTACGTTTTGAAAAATCAGCTAAGGTAAGCAAATACTTTAAGATATTTTGTGAAAAAAAGTTTACTTTTTGTTAAAATAGCAATACAGATCTTTATAGAAGAAAATGACAAAACTTCTGTAACCCCACCACTTGGAGATAGTTACTAATAATAGTTATATGCATTTAAAAGCTTCTAGTATGTGTGTATTTATCTTTTTAATGGGCCAGACATTGCACATTATTTTATTTATATTCTACTATGCTTTAAATTGTGCTTTATGCCAACATAATATATGTAATTTTGTTGTTGTTGTTGTTTAGTCAGTAAGTTGTGTCCGACCCTGCAACCCCATGGACTGTAGCCCACCAGGCTCCTCCGTCCATGATATTCTCTAGGCAAGAATACTGGAGAGGGTTGCCATTTCTTTTTCCAGGGGATCTTCCCGACCCAGGGATCGAACCCATGTCTCCTGCATTGGCAGGTGGGTTCTTTATTGCTGAGTCACAGGGAAGCCATATATAATTTTACAGTTCAAATATTACTATGTTTCATGTGAAAAATAGAATTCCTTGTCCATCCAACCCTTTCTATTCCTGTTTTCTACTCCTCAAAATCGATAATTTTTAACTTGTGTATTCTGCTGATTACTTTCATTTCCTCAAATAACTTGCTTCTACTAGTATTTCCTAATTTTTCAGTTTTGTATGTTACCTATTGACTTCAGACCTAGAGGATGAGGAACCTACATGTTTCTCTCTGATGACCCCCACTTTGCCCCCAGTATATCCATCTTGTCTCCCTCTCCCTCTCCCAATGTAGTCATATGGCCATTTTTTGTTAACTCAGTTTTCAATGTTTATACTATTATATTATGAACATGCTCTTCAAACTTGAACCACATGGTGTCCTAAAATTATATTTTCTTTCTTGTGCAATTTTCTGTTTTCCTTACAGTTAATAATTGTCTCATTTTTCCACTTTTTTTTTTTACTTCTTTTAAATCATATACAAACTCTCTAATATACCTTTTAAATTTAGTCACACTCAACTGGTAATCTATTTGTTGTTTATTATTACTATTATTATTTTTTAAATTTTATTATATTTTGGAACTCTCTCTCCTAAAGCCATTTTCTTATCTCCCTGATCTTGCTTGATTACTTACTGTCTGGACCTTCTATTTAACTGCAACTTCCTTTTATTATCATTCTAGAAATTCCCTTCATCTGTCTTCTAGGAGTTCTAGGTATTTCCTTCATCTTTCTCTTGGATTAAACATAGAATCCTAATTCTTTGGACCCATGTTTCTCTCTCTTTTTTTTTTTTACTCTACACTTTCTTCAATAGATTGCTGATAATGTGTTGTAGATAAAGTGTAATTACATTCTAATTTCTGTTTTCTTACATAGATCTGTTTGTATTTACTCCTGGAAGCTATTAGGATTTTGTTATCTTTGATCATCTAATATTTGAAAATTCGAAAGTGAGTGGATTTTTGTTTTTGTTGTGCTGGTTGTCTTGTGAGCTCTTCTGGTCCTGAAACTCAATCTGGTTTTGTTTTATTTTTCTGGTACAGCTATTAATCAGAATGGACCTCCTAGAGTGAGAAATATTCTTAGATATCCCCTTCTTTATCCCATCTTGTCTTATTCTATGTTCTGGAAAATTTACTTGATTTTATCTTAATTTTTTAAAACTTCTCATTTTATGTTGGAGTATAGCCAATTAACAATGTTGTGATAATTTCAGGTAGACAGCAGAGGGACTCAACCATACATATACATGTATCCACTCTCCCCCCAACTCCCCTTCCATCTGTGCTGCCACATGACATTGAGCAGAGTTCCCTGTGCTATACAGTAGGGTTATCTTAAATTTTTAAATTACATATATTTTTTTATCACTTAAATTTCTAAAGTTTTGACATTTAAAAAATGCATCAAATTTATATTTCATGGTTTATAGTATCTTATTTCTCTGAGAATTTTAATTCTTAGTTTTGAAGTTCTCTTTGCATTTTTGTTTTCCACATTCCTTTTATTTCTTGTTTCAGGCTCTTTTATATTAGAGGCTTTCCTGGAGTGTCAGTTATTCTTGATGTGGATTCATTCTGAAGATTAAATCATAAAAATGCAGATGAGAAGACCTGTGTGAGCCTCAGTGTTCAGTATTCAGGTGGAAATTCAGCTTTATCATGTGTGATGCCCACATGTGTATAGCTATAGATCTTCGGGGTGTGTGTGTGTGTGTGTATGTCTGTGTGTGTGTGTGTTTAGCCTTGCGAGTGAGGGCATTCTCCAGTCTTGTGTCTGGGGAATATAAAACTGGTTGTTATCATTCAAAGAGTCTAGTGGCAGAAGGGGATTAAAGATGAGGACATTCTCCAGTCTTGTGTCTGGGGAATATAAAACTGGTTGTTATCATTCAAAGAGTCTAGTGGCAGAAGGGGATTAAAGTTCTGACCATCAAATGGAGTTTCATCAGTGCCCCCTCTCACGATGTGCTTTGTATCCTCAAGCCTCTCTGAGCTTCTCAGTTGCTCAGTCGTGTCTGACTCTTTGCAACCCCATGGACTGCAACATGCCAGGATTCCCTGTCTTTGACCATCTCCCAGAGCTTGCTCAAACTCACGTCCATTGAGTCAGTGATGCCATCCAACCCTCTTATCCTCTGTCATCCCCTTCTCCTCCTGCCTTCAATATTTCTCAGCATCGCAGTCTTTCCTAATGAGTCAGATCTTTGCATCGGGTGGCCAAAGACTTTAGCTTCAGCATCAGTCCTTCCAATGAATATTCAGAACTGATTTCCTTTAGGATTGACTGGGTTTGATCTCCTTGCAATCCAAGGAACGCTCAAGAGTCTTCTCCAACACCGCAGTTCAGAAGCATGAATCTTTGGTGTTCAGCCTTCTTTATAATCCAAATCTCACATCTATCTATACATGACCACTGGAAAACCATAGTGTTGACCATATGGACCTTTGTCAGCAAAGTAATATCTCTGCTTTTTAATACGCTGTATAGATTTGTCATAGCTTTTCTTCCAAGGAGTAAGCATCTTTTAATATCATGGCTGCAGTCAGCATTTGCAGTGATTTTGGAGCCCAAAAAAGTAAAGTCTGTCACTGTTTTCATTATTTCCCCATCTATGCCATGAAGTGATGGGACCTGATGCCACGATCTTAGTTTTCTGAATGTTGAACTTTAAGCCAGCTTTTTCACTCTCCTCTTTCACCCTCATCAAGAGGCTCTGTAGTTCCTCTTTACTTTCTGCCATAAGGGTGGTGACATCTGCATATCTGAGGTTATTGATATTTCTCCCTGCAGTCTTGATTCCAGCTGGTGCTTCATCCAGTTCAGCATTTCACATCATGTACTCTGCATATAAATTAAATCAGCAGGGTGACAGTATAAAGCCTTGACCTCCTCCTTTCCCAATTTGGAACCAGTCTGTTATTTCATGTCTGGTTCTAAGTGTTGCTTCTTGACCTGCATACAGGTTTCTCAGGAGACAGGTAAGGTGGTCTGGTATTGCATCTCTTTAAAAATTTTTCATAGTTTGATGTGATCCGCACAGTCAAAGGCTTTAGTGTAGTCAATGAAGCGGAGTAGATTTTTTTCTGAAATTTTCTTGCCTTTTTGATGATCCAGTGGATGTCGGCAATTTGATCTCTGGTTCCCCTGCCCTTTTTTTTTTTTTTTCCCATTTATTTTTATTAGTTGGAGGCTAATTACTTTACATCATTACAGTAGTTTTTGTCATACATTGAAATGAATTAGCCATGGATTTACATGTATTCCCCATCCCAGTCCCCCCTCCCACCTCCCTCTCCACCCGATCCCTCTGGGTNCTTTGTTGTGCAAAAGCTTTTAAGTTTCATTAGGTCCCATTTGTTTATTTTTGCTTTTATTTCTAAAATTCCCCTGCCTTTTCTAAACCCACCTTGAACATTTGAAAGTTCATGGTTCACCTATGGTTGAAGCCTCACTTTGAGAATTTTGAGCATTATTTGCTAGCGTGTGAGATGAGTGCAATTGTGTGGTAATTTGAACATTCTTTGGCATTGCTTTTCTTTGCAATTGAAATGAAAACTGACCTTTTCCAGTCTTTTGGCCACTGATGAGTTTTCCAAATTTGCTGGCATATTGAGTGCAGCACTTTCACAGCATCATCTTTTAGGATTTGAAATAGCTCCACTGGAATTCCATCATCTCCACTAACTTTGTTTGTAGTGATGCTTCCTAAGGCCCATTTGATTTTGCACTCCAGGATGTCTGGGTCATGGTAAGTGATCACACCATTGTGGTTATCTGGGTCATTAATATCTGTTTTGTTTAGTTCTTCTTTGTATTCTTGCCACCTCTTTTTAATATCTTCTGCTTCTTGTAGGTCCTTACCATATCTTTCCTTTATTGTACCCATCTTTGCATAAAATGTTCCCTTGGTAGCTCTAATTTTCTTGAAGAGATCTCTAGTCTTTCCCATTCTATTGTTTTCCCCTGTTTCTTTGCATTGATCACTGAGGAAGGCTTTCTTATCTCTCCTTGCTATTCTTTGGAACTCTGCATTCAAATGGGTAGATCTTTCCTTTTTTACCTGGAATCAAGAAAGAAAAGCTTCTCCTCTTCTCAGTTATTTTTAATGCTTACGCAGACAGCCATTTTGCCTTTTTGCATTTCTTTTTCTTGGGGATGGTTTTGATCACTTCCTCCAGTACAATGTCACAAACCTCCATCCAGAGTTCTTCAGGCACTCTGTCTATCGGATCTAGTCCCTTAAATCTATTTCTCACTTCCACTGTGTAGTCATAAGAGACTTGACTTAGGTCATACCTTAATGGCCTATTGATTTTCCCTACTTTTCTTCAATGTAAATTTTAATTTTGCAATAAGGAGTTCATGATCTGAGCTACAGTCAACTCCCGGGCTTGTTTTTGCTGACTGTATAGAGCTTCTCCATCTTCGGTTGCAAAGCAAACCTCTCTGACACTGACTGGCAAAATGATAGGTGAACTTCAGGATCCTTCCTCCAAAACAACATGT